TCTCATCCTGGCCATCCATCTCACCTCATCCCAACCGTCCACTCCCTCTTCTCCAAACGACGTCGTTTCCTCCTCCACTTCACCAAACGACGTCGTTTCCTCCACCTCTTCACCAAACGACACCATTTCCTCCAAACGACGTTATTTCCTCCTTCTCTTCTCCAAACGATGTCGTTTCCTCCCCCTCTTCTCCAAATGGCACCGTTTCACCTCTGTAATCATCACTATATATACATATATACATACATACAAATTTTCTTTTTTTTTTTTACATCCAGTTACTACAATTATTATTACTATTTTATTTTTTATTTTTTATTTTTTATTTAAAAAAAGGAAACCCTTTTTCTGGAAAAAGATCAAGATATGTATAAATATATATATATGCATACATGGGCACGTGCTTAATTAAAATACCGTATTAAGAATTAAGTTTCTATTGAAATTCTTTAAATTATTTGCAAATCTATATTTGATTTAACTAGAAGATGAAAATCTTACTAATAATTGTAAAATTGAGTACATACGAAATTTATATGGAAATAGAAAATTACATTTCAGATTTCTGGAATCGGCAATGTTTTCTCATGTGGATTGATGTAAATTTCATATGTACTCAATTTTTTTTGTCATCCTAATACAGTTTGCTCTTCCTATTTAAGTTAATTATGGGTATGCACATGAACTACAAATTATTTTTGGATTTGTTCCAAATATAATCTTAGTTATTAGATTAGAATTTTATATTCAATCTTTGTAAATATCTATATAATCTAAAAGTTAGATCTCTCTCAAGGAAAAGAAAAAAACTAAACTAAACTTTGAGATCAAGCCTAGAGTGAATAAATTATCATGAGAATTTTCTCAATAGCTTGATTGCAATGATCCTTAGATTCTACTCAACATGATGATTAAGGGATTTTAGTTGTGACTCTAGTTAATTTTGGTTCACTGTTCCAATTCTTAGGTTTAATATCTAAGAATTTGAAAATTTACTCCAAATTCTTAGGTAGTCAAATTAATCCTCGTTTACCCTATATCACCCATGATTCTTCGTTTTGCAGTTATTATAAAGCAACATCAGTATCTTTATGTGCTTTATTTTGATTGATTAGTAAATCACAAAGGCTAGTGAATTTTCAATATTGAATATAGTTAATGAAGTTGGCCCTTAGAACGTGAGAATTAATGAACTATTTGCTATATAAATGCATAGATGCAAGATAACAATTCTTTTAAGAGAACAAACCCAATATTTTTATGGTTTAGTTTAAATATATATCATAAAGTTTAATGGTATATTTAAACTTAATTTGTAGAATTTATTTAGAAACCTACACTTAAATTTAACTATTAGTGAATTAAAATCCTTTCTAATATGATAATTTCTTAAAAATTTTGAGACAGAATATTTCAGAATCTCATCAATTTTGATTTTTGAAATTTTTTAG